TCACATAATGAGCCCATATTGTGATTAAAGCATTTTAATAAAGAATTAACAAAGAATATAAAGAAAGGTACAATAGATGAGAAAGTAAATAAATGAAAACACAATTTCATCAAATGCCTGTACTTAAGATGGAAGACGATGTCTTTTAAAATTATAGGACCTCAATAAGGTAAACATAATCTGTATTCCATCGCTTTCTGAAGTTCGAAATCATATACATACACAGCCACAACAAATCGTCGCCAGTGACTGAAGTCAGATACAGAACAATGTATCGACCAGAATTGTACGTCGGAAGAAGCGTACAACGGCAGTCCGTCAATACTAATTTGTAGCTTAATGGATGGCTCGGCGAATTGGGGAATATTGCACAACATATAGAACAGATGAGATGTGAGTCCAATGTGAACGTAAACTCCAGGTCCATTCATTATCTTCTGACAACTGCAAGGAGTGCTCATGAGGGTTCGCGAATCTCTAGTCCTACGGATCCTAGGAAGCTCTGGAAACTACTTAAGTAGAGCAACCATTGGACATCAACAACTGCGTTCCCATTAAACATTGACGAAGAACTTGCCTAATATTGATATCGAATTCTTCCATTGTCGTTTTGGAACTAATTATAGAATAAAAACGTTTTCCAACATATATCCACTGATGCGGCTCGACTCAACGTACCACAGTGAGGACAGAAACCCACTGATAAATCAATGTCTACAGCAACGGAATTGGTGGAAATGGCCACACGAGGATCGGGAAAGGAATATGAACGCGGGTGTTATGAGGTTATCACCCATAACTGTCGAAAAGGTCCAGTGTACTATCGACGGAATATTGACTACGAAGGTCGCAGGCCCTGACTTTATTTATCCAGCTGTTCTGAAACCCCTGGCGAGACAGCTAGCAGTGCCCCTGAACAACCTCATCAACGCCTCGTTAGAGATGAGTAGGCTACCGGAGGATTGGTTACTGGCAATGGGTATCCCAATCCACAAGGGGGAGATCGGAACTCGTGCTCAAACAACCAACCAGTGAGCCTAACTTCAGTAAAAGTCGTGGAGCGAATCTTACGTGGCAGGATCGCCAACCAACACGGTTTCGTCAGGAGACGATCGTGCCTGTCCAACCTACTATGTTTTTCAGACGAGGTGACTAGGCGCATTGATCGAGGAGAA